CCCCCCCCTCAGCTGCAGGGCTTTGGCCCTGTGCATCCTGCTGCCACGTGCGCCACAGGGAAGGACAGAGGGGCCTGCGTCAGCTGGGGGGCCAAGGAGGGCGGGGGCGGAGCCACACCCAGCCAGGGACCAGGGCCACCCAAGAGGCTTTTAGCCACCACTTACCAGCCCAGTGCCCTAAGGGCGGTGGCAGCCATCTGGGACCCCGTCCAGCTGAGATTCACAGCCCACCCCAGCATGCAGGGGAGCGGGGGGCACCTGCCCCTCCCAGCACACTCGGTCAGTTAGGTGCTAGGAAACGGGGCGAAGGCAACACCCTGCAAGTCTGTCTTGGAGCTAGCGGGGCCCCGGGATGCCAGCACTGCCCCCCAGCAAAAGGAACCACGGGCCTGGCCTGGCCCTGCACTGCCAGGGGACCAGGCCGTGAGCGTGACTGACAGGGGCTTGCTGGTCTGTGGGCGCCAGGCCTGTGCAGGGGAGCCGGGGCTGGGTGGGCGCTGCGCTGCACCCCAAGCCCCACGGCCCCCAGGAGATCCCGCAAACAGGCTCGGTTGGTCCATGCAGCTGAGGCGAGCAAGCACCTAAACCCAGCTCAGTGCAGGTGCCCGGCCTGGCAGCCAGCATGTCCAGGAGAGCCGGCCCCGCCTGCCCGCTGCCGGGAAGTTGGCCTCTGGGCAGCAGCCTGGCTCCCCCGCCCTCCTCTGCAGCAGGGGGACCCTTCCCAGAGTCAGGGTCAGGCCTGCCCTCTGGCCATGGCACGCAGGAGGCAGCCGGGGCAGGGCCCACCCACAGCAGAGCCCTGCCCCCGCCAGCCCATGGGCAGAACATGCCTGAGGCGTGTGCTGGAAGGAGCAGGGATGCTGGGGGAGGGGACGGGCGTGCCAGCAGCTGTACACACCTAGACATGAACAAAAGGGGCCCCGGGGTCCAGAGCCTGCTGGCCTGGGCCTCTCCACCCCCCCGAGCAGGCAGGGCCTGAGGAAGCTTAAAGGCTGCTATTAAAAAATCCACACGTCACTTTGTGATCTTTATTCTTTCAGTAAATAACCCCCAGGGGCTTCAGCAAGGGACCAGTTCAACGGAAAAATACAAGATCTGGACTGCATAGAAAAGAGCCCCCGAAGCCCCGAAGCAGAATATACTTACAGCGTGCAGGCGGGCAGGGGCGGGCCGGCCCCCCGCCGGCGGGCGCCGGGG